TGCGGTCAATTCATTCTATCAAGTGTATTCTGTTAAACCAGGGTTAACGAGCGTGGTGAAAATTACAAACTTTCAACGTTTAAAAAGCGATCATATTTTTAATACAAGAATCGGAGAAAAAGAGAGTTGTCCACTTTTCAAAACGTAATCAGAATTTTTTTAGATCTTTTCTTTCCAGCAGCCAGCAGCCTTCCTTGTTCATATCATATGCACTTCTTTATTGGTTATCGGCACCGCAGGATTGAACCCAAGATGTCAAGAACTGTATGCAATTCTCCGTTTAAAAAGTATCTATGGCAATAAAAAGTTGCCATAAAAAATCGTTTCTCCACAAACCACACGATACAACTGCTGCAACTAATGTCAGTCATTATAACTCAAAGTTATCTATTGTCGCAACTTTTAAACTCTTGGGCTGATTATTTAAACAAAGTCTAACTAAGACCTGGTTTAAGGCTGAATTGGGGTTCACCCGGTACTCTCTTACAACGACTAGGCAGAGGAAACAACAACAATTTTATTTGCATTACCATTTACTTAGATGTAAAGAAGTATAAATATATAAATAGAGAAAATGACAATGATAGAAATAAAAATACAACAACATTAACTGATTAATTTGTATGAATGCGAGTGCAATCACGAGTAGTGTAAACATTTTGCGTCCGCAACAAATGTTTCCCGTTTGCTCGCGGAGGAAACAATGTTGACTAGATTCCAAGGCTTGTCTTGCATTGCGCGCGCATCGCGTGTTCGCAGCAGTTGTTTCCCGTAAAATGTTTCTTCGTTTGCGCAGCAAGGAAGCAAAACATTGTTTTGCTGCCCGCTTGGGCAAACGGGGAAACATTTGCGTCCGCAACAATGTTTCCTCGTTTGCCACAGCCTTTAATTGTTCGAGCTTTCACAACCTCGTTCCCAGGCTCTGTCTCCTTTTCCTCCCTTGTCGTTGAGGAGAGAGAGCCTGGGAACGAGGTTGGAGCTAAGCTTTCATACGATTACTCATTTATTATATGACTGAGAAAATTACGAACGCGCGCGACCCAGGAACGGTCATTTCGTTGGCTTTATTTTTGAATGAAAATCACGCGGTTTTACAACAACCTCGATCCCAGGCTCTCTCTCTCTTTTTCATGACTCAGCAATTTTGAACGAAATTAGTCCTTTAAGTGATAAAACCGTCACAACACAGCTGAAAGCTGGCACTATTTCTGTAGCGCAATGAGGCAGTTGTTAACAAACTCCGAAATCTTCCTGTTTGGGCGAACAACTTCGGTGTAAAATTTTACAAAAATTTATCGAGCTCACTTGCAGAATACGCCTCGAGCTTTACGTTTATATGTCCTCGTAATTCTGCCCAATTTTTCCAAACACTCAGAGATGTACTCAGCTAATTTGTGGTACTTTTAGTCGTGTTAGCATTTTTTGCCTGCTGCTTTAGTTTTTCTACTAAATGCTGCCGCGATTGAAGAGGGGAAACGCTCGGCCATTTTGACTTTTCAAAATTATGGCGCATACCCCCAGTCATACAAACGTCTCTAAATTTTCCAGTTTTCAACTTCCATTTTCTCGACTCAGGTAAAACTTAACCTAACGAAACTTCGTACGATTACCAAACCAGAAGTGGTCTTTGTCCCCCCAAGACCGGACTCGAGTGAGCAGCGGAAATCGAGCCTACGAAAGGAGGGGCTCAGCTGTACTCAATTACTCATGAATATGATACGCACGACTGCCAATGACCCATCAACCCCGCGCGCCCTTAGGTGCTTTCGCCCTCTTGAGGCCCAAAGGGGATTCCCTCAATCAATGCGCCATCTGAATTGCGCGACAAATTAGTGACTTTGTTTTTGTTTTGGAGATAATTTTGCGAGTACGAGTTTCACTATGAGTACGACTTTCGAATTTCCAATCAGTCACGTTCCCAGAGCCCTCGCTCCTCCCTGTTGCTGACCAGTAGAGAAGGAGGCTCTAGGAACGAGATTGGTGTTAGACGTGTTAATGTAAACCCTGCGTACTAGGTTTGAAGTCGTACTCGTACTCCGATTTAAATAGGGTCGCTAATCACAACTGAGCTGCCGACAAACGTTATCCACACCTACCATGATTTTTCTAATAAAGTGCATTCCGACTTATTAGTTGCATACTGGTCGCGTACAATTGCGCATGTTTTGTTCTTGTTTTTTTTTTTTTTTTTTTTTTTTTTTTTTTTTGCAACACAAATTATTTTATTGTCAAAAAAAACACGAATTACAAGGTTGGTACTAACACTAATTACAGAATTGACATTAACAGAAATTATAAAACTGTGACTAGCTCTAGTTACAAAGTTGTAGATAACGCTAATTGTATAATTATCACTAACCCTAAATACAACACTAATTACAAAATTTCACAAGCACTGGTTGTAAGTTGTAGCTATCGATGATGTAGAGGAGCTTTTATATAGCTATAATTATACATTAGGTAGTAAGCAATGAGCAGCAGGGAAGTGGACATAATGGAATCAGATACTGGATCAGAATTGCTAATGTAGAGGTATCTCAATGTACAGGGTGTTGGGGACAGCGCTATGATAATAAAGTCGACTAGTTAATATTTAGCATGGGAACTAAAGGATCCCATTTCTTCAAATTGGTACCTAATTTATGGGATTCAATGTGAAATTGGGAGTTAAGGACCATCAAAAAACTTTTCAAGTGCGGCGTTTTATTATTGGTTCTGCAGCACCATATGTAGTGTCTCGCTAAAAGAAAGCAGAAGTTTAGTTGTAGTGAAAAAGTAGAGAATTATACAGAATTATATATAACCAGATCAACTGACCTGTTTTGAACTTCGTGCGGAGACAAACTTCCCGCAAATTGGTGTTGCACGAGTTTAAAAGTATTCGACGCGTCGCTCCAACATCTTGGTAATGTCCCCGCTACATTTTCCTGTGTATGTACCGCCCGGGGTGTCTAATCGAACAAAATCGAACAAAAAAACCATCGAACGCAATTGAACACCAATCGTTCGATTGCGTTCGGCAATCGAACATAATCGAACTCACACAAAACAAATCGAACCAATCGAACAAAATCGAACTCATTCGAACAAAATCGAACGCAATCGAACCGAATCCGGTTCGATTTTGTTCGGACTGCATCTCTTGACGATTGAGTTCGATTGCCAACCGTTCGATTCGATTCAATCGAACGTTCGATTGTGTTCGATTGACAAATTTTTTTTTTTGTGAGTTCGATTATGTTCGATTGCCGAACACAATCAAACGATTGGTGTTCGATTTTGTTCGATTGCCAAACGTTCGATTAGACACCCCGGGATGTACCGGTACATTTTGTGATTTTGCCCCTGTAACATTTTCGTGCACGTGATCGCCATTGCACGTTCCCGCTCCATATCTCCTTCTTGTGTGAACAACATACGATTCTGTCGCAGCGACATATGCCCCTGCTTGCACACGAAGGGTCATGTACGTTGTACCTACAACTATTCACGCGTCAATCAATTTTTATTCCCGGGTTTTTATTCGACGCTTGAATTAAAAATTGATTGACAAGTGGTCTTTGAGTCAATGACCTCGTGAAATGAATGAATCTATGATCATTTTAGGTGGTTGGGTTGGGTTGGTTGAGCTTTTTTCGTGTTCTTTTGGCCAAAAAAACACATTTTCGGTTCATTTGGTTGTTCAACTTGTTCACCTTTTTCAACCGGCATCAAATAAGGTTGAAACGGTTTCCCCAATAGAACCGCACTTTCAGCCGTTGTCGGTTGAAACGGTTCATCAATATTCAACAATCATTTCAACCAAATCAACCCAAAGTGGTTTTCCCGAACAGAACACCAAAAAACTCGACCAACCCATCCAACTGAAAACAGTTGATCAGAATAGAACACGACCTAACAGATATCAACCATTTCAACCGAAAACGGTTGAATAAGTGTTCAATAAAAATAATTATATGATGCGTGACACTTGTGAAACATTAAAATAAGTAAAAAAAACTCCTAGAAGTCAAAAACGTTTTAAGTGTTGTAAGTGGATAAGTGTTCTATTGCGACACTTCAACCAAATCAGCCAAAACCAGTTGCGGTTGAAACGGTCCCAACAGAACACGACCTAAGGGCCTCCACAGACTGGGCCAATTGTTATCGATAACTATTTAGTTGTCCATCATAAAAAGTTGTCGATAACAAAAAAGCCAGTGTGTGAAGCAAGTTATCGATAACTAAGGGCCTTAGTTATCGATAACTAGAGTTCACACACTGGCTTTTTTGTTATCGACAACTTTTTATGATCGAAAACTAAATAGTTGTCGACAACTATCTCTCTAGTCTGTGGAGGCCCTAAGTCGTTCGTTTTAATTTTTACGATTAATAGTGTTTTTGTTAAGTCACCCGAAGGTTTTATTTTAGCTGTTTAATTAATCTCCTGGCGCGAGGCTAGTGCATCTTACGCTATCTCGTACGTGAATCGCGAGTCAAAATGGCTGGGAAACGGTCGGGTCTAACGCGCAATATATGAAACCCTGCGTGCCCTTTGCGTAAACTGCTTATGTGATTGACTTGGAGCAAATCTATGAAGGATAACATGATCATTCAGTCCTATGGTTTTTACGGTTTTAGTATCTCTATAAAGCGACGCGTAGATACCAAATTTTTTTATTCTGATGCTTTTCCACCCTAAATCAAGCTTAAAGTTCTCGCTTGCGCCACGCCCATCCTAGCCAGTGAGAGCAGCCGGTTTTTTTCAATAAGAGACGAAAAAACTGGCTGCTCTCACAGGCTACGCCCATCCAAGTTAATATGCCTAGTAGATGCACTAAGTCAACTTGGATGGGCGTGGCTCAAGTGGGAACTTTAAAGCTAACTTGTAGGCGATATAATTCCGCCTTAGAAGTACACTTGCTCCTCGTCCATAGTACAGTAGACTGTTCAAAGCCTCTATATTTTCTCGACGCTAAACAGCGAGGGGTCGGGGGGGTGGGGGGTTCCATAGTATTTTGGAGGCAGCGTGGCCGAGTGGTTAGGGCGTCGGGCTTGTAATCCGGAGGTGAAGGGTTCAAGCCCTCCACCCTTACATTCACTGGATTTGTTCTCGGTTGCCCCGACTCCTTGGCTGCGCTCTGTAAATAGCCAACTGGTCTGTCTCCTGCCAGTTTGGGATTTTCAACGTACATGTTATGTTTATTTGAAATATTTGTTTCTATACACGGCCCCACAAGCTTTAACACAAACCGTGTATAAATAAAGTTGCTTTATTTTATTTATTTTTATTAGTGGTCGTATAAAATCCGTGCCAAAGACAATATTTGAGAGCTTCAGCAAACGGCAGTGGGAGCGTCGACAAACACCTGCGTAGCCGTCGTTTCCTTTCCAAGCGCGTGAGAGGCGAACGTTGGTACATTTCTTAGCCGTCCTCGGCAATCACCACATTCTGCGAGAACCATAACGGTGAATGTCTCGTGTTTGTTTTTAACACACAACCTCGTCCCCAGGGCGCTTTTCCCTAAAGTGCCCTGGGGACGAGGTTGTTTAACACAGGGACTGGACAAGATGTATATTTTCGAATATTTATTGCAACTACTGTTATTTATATAGATGCAGTCGAGCCTTCCCGTAAGCGGCCATCCAAAATGTATAGCCTAGGTTGTCGCTTGTAAGCGGTGATCGCACAGAGCGGTTGGATCTCTCCTTTTTTCTCGTGCAAAGTACGAAATCAGCATCTATGCTTTCGGCTGTTACATATGCGACTAGTCTCAAAATTGAATGAAGCCGCTAAATGTTTCATATTTAATAAACGGTAAAAAATGGACTAGGATTGATTGGAACGGATTACTCCGAGCCTGAGTGATCAGGCTTTTCGAAGGGGGGGGGGGGGGGGGGGGGGGGGGGGGGGGGGGGTTCGCGGGTTTGTAGGAGTAAGAGCGACGGCTCTTCTCTCCTCGCCCCACTCCCCTAAGACCTAAGGAGTAATCAGTCAGAAATCATCGATGTTCGTTACGTAGCAGAGTTTTCATCAGTAAATGAGTATTTCTCTGTTATTAGCGCGTTTGCTGTTGATAGACAAGAATTTCCTAAAATAAGCGCGACCTAATAGCACTTTAACACAGTCTCTTGTAAGATCCTTTGATAACCATTCTGTACTGTGATCTTCTCTGATTAGGGCTCTTTCTCTCGTGTACTACCATTTTCCTTGGCACAGAATGCCGTTTACCTTGGGCCCAGAGGTTTTCTTTCTTGTCTCTCTGAATCGAATTTTAGTTCAATTTTATTAGATGTCTTACTCTGTATTTTGCACGTTCACGTTTTAAACGAGTCTCGAACGAACTCATCCGTGATATGTGGATAAATAAATTACTTACTTTACTACTTACTTCGCTTCGACTCGCTTCGATCGAGTTCTGTAGAAGAAAGAAGAAAGAAAACCTCTGGGACCAGGGTACATGTCATTGTGTCTACACTGCACTTCAAAACAGTGTATTTTCCTAGAAAAGAGATTTTTTTAGAACAATATTTAGCCGATAAATATGTACCATAAAAACATTTCCTCTATCCTATAACAATAAAAAAAAACAGCAGAGATTTTACAGTCCCCAATCCTCTCGTCATCTTCCTTTTTTCCTTTTCTTTGCCTATACAAACCTAAACAAATTAGCTGCTCAGCTCTGCTCCCAGCACTCGTGTTTGGCGGCGGAGGGCGGAGATCGAGTGATAGGTTCGTGGCCTGACTGTGTCCTTAGGTAAGACCGGCTAGGCTCGATTTCTGAAACCATGGTAAAGTATTTACGAGCCTAGTGACCCACATCCCCGCGGAGCTTATCCCAGTTTCTGTAGCACGAAGCAACTAGGAGTATTACTACCCCCCCCCCCCCCCCCTGTGGATAGGATATCAGGTACCCATTTCCATGCACTCTTGGGTGGGGAGAGGCACTGTGATAACGCGCCTTGCCCAATGCAAGAACGCAGTACATTGACCCCAACCGTCGGATCATTCGATCCGGAGTCAAACTCGCTAAGGTGAGACACTCTCACCAATAACAATACGATAGACCGGACGGGAAACGTTTGAGTGTTACTGGCACTCCATCATGACAGCATCTACAATCTCGGAAAATACCGTCTTACAAAAAGAGCGTCTTACAAAATGTAAATAGTAATAATAATAGAAGTATTACTTAATTAATTTTTAATTAGTTCTAAAATAGTGTCCCCAATTAGTAGATTTCATTGTGCTATGTGTTTATTGACACTATAATAAAGTTCATTCATTCATTCACCTGTTGAGGCACTTATAAACTAAAAGTTCACCAATTTGGCAGAAAGTACTACTGAGCAGCTTATTCGTCCACCCCGCTCCCCCATAGCAATGATTTTCTAGTGTAAAGAGAATGCAAGATGTCTTGGCATCCCTCTCAAACAACATCGAATAGGGGGGAGGAGATAACAATATTTTCATCATCTTGTTAGCTAAATGATTTCGTAAAAGTGAGAAATATGCGCGCGATTTTCGCTTGTATCAATTACAACTGGTTTTGTCCGAGTTTGTACCTCCTTATAGACGTTTTATCAAATCCAAAGTATTCAGAGGAATCCAACCTTATTTAGAAATAACTAAAACGACTTTTGTAAAAAAATTAAGTCAACGTTCAAGATTAGTCAAACTCAAAATGAACTGATAAAATATGGACAATACAAAGTTGATGTTAATTCCATGGCTTACCAACTGACTGACTAGGTTCCAAGTGGAACAAAGGGTGTTGACAATGCTACACCAGCGGACTCTATTTGAAGCTGTCCTCTTGGCCTTGTTCCAGCTTCTTTGAGCTCTTCTTCCACTCACCTCATCCAGGTTTTCATTGGTCTTTCAATTCCCACCTTACTTTTACCCTGCGGATTCCACTCCAAAGTTGGCCTGAAAATGTCATGAACAGACTGATAATGGCGATAAAGTATTTGGCACGTGACTTGCATCATTTGTTTAAAATCATTCCAGGCTCTCTGAGTTTGGGAAAAACGAGAGAAAAGGAACGAAAGTCATTTCCGTTATTTTTGGCCTCAAGCTGTGAGTGATGAGAACGTGAATTTCCCTTTAAACTGTTCAAGTACCCTCGTATCAATTACAATAAGGCGACGGCATTATATTTCGTGTCTGTTTCACACTTTGAAAACGTTTCATTTTATTTATAAAGTATTAAATCTAAGAAAAATTAAAAATTAACAGTACGGAATAGCATGGATGGTAATACGTCTTTTTAGTATCCATATGTTCTAAGTTCCCCTATCAGGAATAATTTTAACGACTCTCGGACAAGAGAACACACTTGCACTGTTTATGAATCACTTTTTGACACAACTATTTCACTATTTGTATTTATCGCTACCTACCAAAGCTGGATATTGATCGAATATTGATTTGATAGCGATAGTAATTTAATTTACTGACGCTATTTCAAACCAGTCTTATAAAATCGCCTGGTTTTGTATCCGGTAATGAAAATCGCGCGGGAACTATGACAAGGAAAACATGTCATCAATCAATATTTGAGAACCCTTACCATTTCTATAAATAGATCACTATCGTGAATATCCAATCAGGCGTTGTCAAGTCCTTGTCAATAAGGAGGAATTTCAATGGCTTGAAATAACACAGTCCTAAGGGGTATTCCCCGGATTACAATGTTGGCGGGAAATTCACACCAAATGACGTAAAAGGAGCTACGTCACCGATGACGCAATTTGAATAATTTAGCGGATCGTCGTTCTTATCATATTGTCATCTCTTGGATGATTTTCTATTTACACTAAATTTAAAACGTTTGAAAGCAAGGGACCACACAACGTAGAAATAAATCGCTTGGATACTGTTTGTTGCCGGATCTCTTGTTTTAGAAATGCAGGTGCCAGACTTTAGTTTTCGAAACCTTGTCTTAATTGTATATATTTATTATTTTGACATGTTATCTTTACTATCTTTACTAACCATACCTACTCATGTATATTCTTATTCAAATTGTAGGAGCCGTTATTTTCTTTCTTTACGACCCTGGCACTAAAGAAGACTGGTACTGCTAGTCAGGGGAAATATAGGTCAATAAACCTTGCCCTTTGCCGTAGGATTTCTTAATTTGATTTGATGGTTATCGCAGAAATCTTGTGAATGCTTCTAAATACTTATAAGTGGACACTGGAGCATACTCAGGTATCACGATGTGAGTTATGCACCGTCAAAAAACAATATTTTATGGATCAATTACAGATGCCAATCAACTTTTATTTATTACGTTTTTTCCGTCATGTATGTTCACGTATACTATTTAATTTGTCCCCCAAGTTCATATAAAGTCTCACTTTCGCAGTCCAAACTTGTAAATGTTATCTTGAGCGATTCCCTAAGCAGAAAAGACACGTTCTAAAGGTTGACGTAATTCGTACGGTCTATTAATGAAAAAATATATCAATCAATGAATAAATGAGCGATCAAAATGACAGAAATTGACAAATATACAGTTTTATTAACAACTTTTCAAGTGGTTCAAACCACTGAAGATAATACAGACACCCTCGGGAAGCAGAAAAAGTGTCCGCAACTGGAGCTGTCACTTACTGGAATGTGTAAATATAGAGTTTGTACTAGCTAGAGCCGGTCAAAAGGGGTTTTGTCAAGGCGGCTGTAAGTAGAGCTGTCCGCTTATGAGAATGTCCGCTCAGAGAGCTTCGACTGTAAAGGAATTTCGGTCGTCATTATATAGTCAATTGACCAACCAGCTGATGGAGATAATACAGGAAAATAAGCCCGTTGGATTGTATTCTTTAAACGTACAAGACTTGAAGCTTATTTCCGGGTGTGGTGGGAGTGTAAGGAAACTCTATTTTGGTTCTGATAAGCCTCGGGCCTTATCATGGCGTTTAGCGTGTAAAGAATAGCTCAAGGTGCAAGCAATTGTGAAATGAAAATCATAAGACCGAAAATTACCAACGATATGAACCAGAAAACCAACTTCAATTATAGGAGCCTTATTAACCTGCGGTTAGGACTGCTTTTTCGTGTTTCTTTTCCTCTAGCTTTCTCTCCTCTTG